TGTCACAAATCTTCGAATAAAACACATCATGGTTGTACATGCTTGAGGAAAATAGAAAAACATCTTAATTATACGCCTGATCAGTCTCATTCTTTAATACTGATAAGAAAAAAGGTCACTCCTACATTATCGCGATACAAAACTTGTATTGTGAATTAAACAGAAATATTCTGAGTAATAGTTAGTATAAAAAACGAAGTTTATTATTTTACTTTTGCTTCTAATTCTGTGTAAAATTATAATTATTCAAATCAAAAACAGTACACTGGTTGGATCCGTCCAAAATGTTGTCATTGTAATTGCAGTTGTAAAACTAAAATGTAAATAATAATTTAAATGAATAGTTAATAATTACGAGGTAACACTTTGATACTTTAATTATTTTTTGTGTGTAAATTAGTGTCTACTATTATTTACATTTACTTATACCTGAAACGTTACTTTCAACGATTCATCGACCATCAAGTTACTCTACTTTCTAGAAAATATGTAAATGGAAAATCCTATGAATGAGATCACTTTAGATTTCAATAGGGCTTCTGTTATAAAAAATTAATTACTATCTTTTTTTTAATAAGTTTATTTTGGAGTTAGTAAGAAATGATTAAAAATGGAATACGAAATCACTGTCCCTTAAAAAATTATTCAAGGTTAAAATTCATAAAAAACTTTTTTTGTGATTTTTTTAATAACTCACTTTCGCGCTTTTTATGGCTCTTATGTTAATTAAGATCATTGTAGAAGTGAAAGATACTGGAAGTTTCCAAGAAAATTTTTTTACCAACAACAAAAGGTTTAAGCCAGTGGTTTCCAACCTGTGGGGCGCTCGCCCTAGAGACTGTTGCAAGGGGGGCATGCAGCTGTTTCCAAAATATTATTTTCGAATACAAACCAAAAAAGTCGAATAGAATAGGATAAAATGAATCAGCAAAATAGGTATACGTAATCCACAATCCTCGCCGCGAATTTTTCGGGTACAAATGCTAAAACATCTATCCATTTTATGTATATTTTTACATAATATTGTATATTATTCTGTAGCCCAGGGGTCGGCAACCTATGACCCGTGGGTCACCGAGTGACCCATTTGGTAATTTCGAGTGACCCACTTTAGTTCCGAATATAAAGTATAAGATATACAAACATTTTTTTCGTTTAGTAATGATTGATTTTAAAAGTTCAACATTATGGACGGATAAATGCAAGAAATTACGGAACGATTAGGAAAATAGAGAAGATAATCATTTTCTCATGATATCAACATGTTGGGCATCACTTCCTACGAGGTTTTCATCATTAAAAAAAATTAGCTTTGCCATTTTGTCCACATTCGGGTCCACTTATAAATGTGAGCAAATATTTTCACAAATGAAATTTATTTTGAGCAGAAACAGGAGCAGGTTAACTATTAAAAATTCAGATGCTTGTGTTCGACTTAAAACGACCAACTATAAACCAGACTTGACTAAATTGACGTTACAAGTTCAACATCAGGGGAGCCATTGATATCGTAGAGAAAGTTTATAAATAAAGTTCTTAATAAAATATATGTTATTATTTACTAAAATGCTGTTTTAATACGAAAATATCTCTGACCCAAACGTCTCTTTAATACTCGCATTTTGGTTAATTTTGACCCGCGGCCAAAAAAGGTTGCCGACCCCTGTACTAGGCAATACATCCTTTAATCGTAAATCACGATGACAATTTCCAATGCTTTTAAATTTTTGGAGTAAAACTTTTTTATCGACGGGAGGGAGGAAATTTACTAGGGTATAAAACCGAAAAGTGTAACGTTAGGATGAGTCATGAGCCACGTGTGACTTCTAGTGGATACATCCAAAAGGAGTCATTTTAACAGGCTTCAGAAGCTAGCCGATATTCGAAAATTTCCGTTTCGACAAATTGTCAGCAGATCGCGCCAACTGTACTGTATTTTTAACAAAACTAAACCAATATTCCACATACGACCGCTGGAAATATAGTACTTTTACCGAGCGGCATGGCCTAGAGGTCTAGACCATTGCTTAGCATTCGGGATGACGCCGGTTCGATTCCGGGTCCGTCTGCCTTGGCCCACGTTTTTCTGTGGTTTCCTTGGATCACTTAGGCAAATGCTGAGGCAGTAATATTCCACAGATAATCTTTCACTCTCTTCTGTCTTCATTCGTCCGTCTCATCTTTCTCACCCGAACCACCACCCACCCATTCTCACGATTCCTGAAAACCCTACCTTCCGGCATAATCCGGAAGGACTGCCCGCCCACCAGCATTACTGGCTGNCTTTCAACAATGTTATTTATTTAAAAAAAGCGAAAACTCACGTGGATAAATTAAATACTACTGGCTCTCTTTTCTCACGAGGAGATTAATTACATTATAAATAAATACATTTACAAGCATGTGCATTTATTTAAATCGAATAGTTAGTAGGTGATATTGTTTAATTACATTTATTATATTATGTACACGAAAAATTGTACTAAAAATCACAAGAGTAAGTAAAGAAGTGAGACTTGTTTCTCACGACAGTAAAGTGAAATGGTTTACGCACTTCCGGAATTTCATAGAACACAAAAAAGCAATGTCATACAAAACTCATTTGTACCTGGTTAGAATTTAATTTAATTTAGTTGCATCAAAATTTAATTTAAACGTTATAATTGAAGTTAATAACATGTAGGTAGATACTTATTAATAAAAAAAAATTAATAATTTGAAAAATTAGCCTTGAAAGATCCTAAAATAACAAAACTGCTTCCTCAGTCTGATGAATTAAAAAAGTAAGATTCTAAGATTTCATAATCAACTAGCAACTTTATAGTTTTATCTATCTGCGTATCTTTTCATTTATTTATGGAATCTTCCCAAAAACAGAAACGACTAGATTTTTGAAAAATATTTTTTTGAGAAGTGAAAACCACACTTAATTTTTTTTCACTTATCCTGTTGAAGTAGGGGTCTCTAGGCGGCATTTATATGGGTCTCCCGATAGGTAGGAAAAATGCAGAAACCTTTATTTATAACCAATCAGTGACGAAATATTTGTCTTATCGTTATAAATGCGCCTTTTCCCAATGAAAATTATGTCAAATACTGTAGTAAAAGTTGAACTGAACTGAAATTCGAAGCAATTTCTAGCTCGAATATTTTTGTTTCATAAACATGCCATTGTTTTAATTTTATTTCAACCTCGTTATCTCGAATTTCTAAATTTCTCGATGCTTTCTCTAACTCGAAAAGCGAAACAGGATTTTGCTTCTCTTCCACAAAAAAAAACTGAATCTTACATTATTGATTAATATTCTTCTTCAGTGATAATTAGTGGCCTGAATTTTTAGTCATAATGGTAGTTACACATGCATTTACACAGCAACAATCAGCAACAATGTTAAATTGTTATCGACCATTTGGTTGTTGAGTCATAAATAACTAAAGTACAAGAGATGTCTTCAAAAGAAAATTTAAAAGTTTAATGGTAAAGCAGAAATTTTCCCTAACTCGAACTTAATTAGGGGGTTTGACCGTAATTACGCCTCCTCAAAACGAGATCACTTAAAAATGAATAAGGAAAAAGTCAAAACAACTAAAAATTAAAAGAAATCTTCAGAATACGTTTAGATAAATATGTTAAATTTAATGTGTATTAATGGTAATGTACATTAATTTTCGAGTTATGTCATAACTGATAAATGTATACCCGTTGGTTATGATCTTAATTTTATTTTATCGTTCAGGCGGTAATATTAAATAAAAAAAAAAATAATAAAAGACACCTGCTGAATACTTTTCAAAGAAAAAAAATCTAAAATTCTGTAAGTGCGTAAACGACATTTGGAATAATTAAGCCATCACATTAGCCCAGATTTGTCTTTTCATCCTATTTGGAATTGCGTATGAAGGTCAGGTCATAGTTTTTAAAATTAACCTATTAACGTAATTATACTTACCTGTATCCTAAATTTAAAAACCAAAATAAACAACATCAAAATATATATATACAAACAACCACCTAAAATCGTAAAATTTTTTAGTACGAAAGCTAACNATTTTTTTTGCCTCATATGATCATAATAATTAAGTTATTATACTATTTGATATTCACATGATAGCTGATAGCGTTTATTTTATGATAATATGAGACTAAAATTTATTTACGAATTTTAAATACTTTAATGTCATGAAATATCAAATGCTGCTTCCAATTACCCACATTAACCCTACATCTCTTAACTTTTTTGTATTTATACATAATAGAAATTGTTATGTACATTCTAATGTAAAATATTTTTGTACAAATAATTTTAATTGAGTTATTTCACTGAACTGAGCCACCTCTACCGTAGTAGATATGATAGACATGCAACCAAATGGCAACAATACCAATGCCAGCTAACTGATATTTGTGGTAATCGTAACTTATCAAAAATGTTTGGCAAGGGCCTTAACTTAATATTGTTTACATAATTAATACGTCTATTTCAAGAAATTCACTACTTCTTATTAATCTGTCTATTAAGTATACTTACGACAAATTTCACGTAATTTGGGTATCTTCTCAATATTGTTAGCAATTATGATTGCGTTTGATAAGAACTTAATGCTGCATTTGATTATGTCGAACATCAATAGGTTGACATACTTAATATGATTTAAATTATTTATTATATGATTACTGAAATTTTTGACTGATTAGCATTCACATTCTTATTTCTTTTTCAATTTTTAATTGATTTAAAATTGCAACTTTAATGTTAGTTCTAAAAAATCTGCCGTCTTTATTCTTAAAACCATTGTAGGAATTTATGTTTCTGCTTTATAGTTTTCTACAATCGCTTACATCCCCTAAATACAATGGACCCCCGGATTTTTTTAATAACTCACCTGGAATTTATCATTAGAGTCCAATCAAACACCTCATCCCAGTTCACAAAATATAGGCATTACGTAGGCGGACTTTTCTTCAATCTCCTTCAAGCAGCTTTTTGCTCACAATCCATTCTCCAATTCCCACAGCATTGACCCCACGTGCATTGAAAACTTCACTTTACAGTTTAAAATGAAATAATACCAAAAAATTTTCCATTGATTCATTTAATACCTAGTTGTATCACTGTATTACTGTACAATTACTGTTATGATATAAATAAATAATAGCTGAATTGCTCGAATTTAAATATCAATCCACAACAGTTTCACACCCGCATCTAACGACCACGAACATTTTACTAATTGGCCGAACTGGGCCGGAATAAAACACATCATGGTTGTACATGCTTGAGGAAAATAGAAAAACATCTTAATTATACGCCTGATCAGTCTCATTCTTTAATACTGATAAGAAAAAAGGTCACTCCTACATTATCGCGATACAAAACTTGTATTGTGAATTAAACAGAAATATTCTGAGTAATAGTTAGTATAAAAAACGAAGTTTATTATTTTACTTTTGCTTCTAATTCTGTTTAAAATTATAATTATTCAAATCAAAAATAGTACACTGGTTGGATCCGTCCAAACCGTTGTCACTGTAATTGCAGTTGTAAAACTAAAATGTACCTAAACATTAATTTAAATAAATAGTTAATAATCACAGGGTAAAACTTTGATACTTTACTTATTTTTTGTGTGTTAATTAGTGTCTATTATTTAAATTTACTTGTACCTGAAACATTACATATAACACATTCATCGACCATCAAGTTACTCTACTTTCTAGAAAATATGTAAATGGAAAATCCTATGAATAATGAAATCACTTTAGATTTCAAAAGGGCTTCTGTTATAAAAAATTAATTACTATTTTTTTTAATAAGTTTATTTTGGAGTTAGTAAGAAATGATTAAAAATGGAATACGAAATCACTGTCCCTTAAAAAATTATTCAAG